AACTACTTTCAAGATAAATGTCATGAGGCAGTGCCTCCAGCTCAGTGGGTTGGGTGCTGGCCACATACACTAAGGCTGGTGGGTTCAAACCCAGCTGGGGGCAGCTAAAACAACAATGACAATTGCAACAAAAAAATGGCTGGGTGTTATGGCGGGTGACTGTAATCCCAGCTACTTGGGAGGCTGAGACATGAGAATTGCTTAACCTCAAGTGTTTGAGGTTGCTGTGAGCTGTGACACCATAGCATTCTACCAAGGGTGACATAGTGAGACTCTGCCTCAAAAAAAAAAAAAAAGATAAATGTCATGAATTTCATAAATTTAGGGAGTGTATGTACACACAGTACACCTTTCATGACAGGAAAACATGAAGGGGTTTATTGCACAGATGAAAAATGTATTAACAGATCCAGTTGCTCGCATTTTTTTCATTGTATCTTACATGTGTTAAAGCTACTATCTTAAGTGACACTTTGCAATAAGTTATAAGTATTGTTAACTATATTTGTGCAAATGCAACACAGCATCTTCAGTTTCATAACACGCTAAAGTTGAATGGTGAGGTGTTCAGTGTGGATTGCCATATCATTCTAAAGTGCACTGGCTATTGCAGAGATGAGTGTTCACCAAAATTTTATCTGTGACAATAGCTAAATTTTATGATGAATAGAAACGTGAATTAGTAAGATTCACATAGGAATGCAGTATTTCTGTGTGATACGATATTGAATCAAAATGACTTGAGTATTTCTTTGCAAGGTAAAACTAAATCTATATATGACATGTAGCAAAAAAATCTAGGCATTTCAAAAAAAAGCTGTCTTTTCTCAAAATACTTTTTCTTCAAAAGGAAATTTCAGATGAACACTTTCCCCATTTAGCAAAGGTCACTGAGGAACAGGATGATACCTGTGCGTCATCTGAAGAATACACAGCTGTTATAATTGGAGAATACCATGAGAGCTTCACTGACTTTGAGAATCATGACATCACACTTGAATGAGCATTTCAGCCTTATCCAATTGATGTCATCAAGGCACCCAAAGAACTACAGATGGAATTGATTGTGCTCTCAGTAGATGACATTTTAAAGGCATTGATCAATGCTAAGAAATCAATTGAAAAATGGAAAAATGCAGACTACTCATGCCTTCAGCAACATTCCCCAAAACAGTTTTCTTGCTTTTCTACCACTTATTGCTGCAAATCTGCATCCTTCTACCTACCCCAAATCAATATGCCCTTAAAGTCAGGAATGACGGATACCCATCTAGAGGATCAACTGAAATTATGGACCTTTAGACTGCAACCAGTACTCAAATGCTTTCCAACAAAAAGCAGACACAACAAAGTCATTTAAGGTTAGTCCCCTTTTAAATGAGCAAACAGTTTCATTGTTGAAATTAGGCACATAGTAGCTAGATTTTATAAAATAAGGTACATTTTTAAGTATATCTAATTAAAGTTTCTTGAATGCAGCCTTATTTAAAAAAAAATTTTTTTTTTTTTCAGTTTTTGGCTGGGGCTGGGTTTGAACCTGCCACCTCCGGCAAATGGGGCCAGTGCCCTACTCCTCTGAGCCACAGGCACCACCCAGCCTTATTTAAAAATTTTAAGTACATTTTTAAGTGTATCTAATTAAAATTTTTTGAATAGAGCCAAATTGATGTGGCCTTCCCACATGAAAAGATTCCTCACTCCTGGTGAGCTCTATCTCACCTCTGGGCTGGTCTACCTAACTGCAGCCTTGGTTACTCTTTGAGAATTCTGTTACTTTGTGAAAATTCTAAATATATATATATATATGATAGTTTTAAAAAGGCAGAGTTCTGAGAACTCTATGAACAGAATGCAGCCAGCTCACACCACTTGGGAATTTGAGGGTTTATTCAGCTAGGCTGACAGACAGGCAGTTCTATAAATCTTTAGGAAAATCACTTCTAATGCTTTCCATGCCAGCCAGTTATTTATAAATTTGCCCCAAAGTCCTTTCCAGTGGCTTTTTCCTGGGCCAGATGATCAATGAAGAGGAAATACTGGTTTTGAGATATCTGACTGACTTAAATTTCTTGATTAATGAATAATTTTGCGCATGGAGAAAAAGTCTGAGATCTCTCTATAACACTGTAGATGTCCATGTGGACAACTCTTAGAGACCATGCTCTATGAAACAGACCTTCCTAGAAGTTGGGGGGAAAGGTGGCTTGGTTAGTAGAGTTAATAAGACCTAAGAAAGTAGATGGGAGTGCACGTGGCTTGTTAACCTCATGCTAAGTTTGAGCTGCGATACACCATGGGTATGGTACACCTGTGCTTTTCTTCTGTCAGCTCACAGGCACATGGTGGAACAGGGATGGACTATCATGAGGGATGCATATCAGGATGGGTGATCTGCTCTACAGTCACCACACACGGGACCCAAGAGGACAGCAATGCCAGAAACTGTTATCACCATCACACAATGTTTTCTGAGCCTCCACCCTGTGTGTTGTGTCCTCTTCCACTCTGGGCTCAGATGAGTCACAGGCTGTGGGCCCTGCTGCCCCAACTTTTGAGCTGTCTGTGGAGAGAGTGTCCCTTTGGCTGAATGTCTCTCACATGGCCATATGGACAGCAATGTTCTCCCAGTCCTCTCCACGTGGGCTGCACATGCTCTGAGTAGTGACCTTTGTGCTACAGGCCTTCGCAAGGGGCTGCCTGGCAGGTACCACCTTCCCACTTCACCACCCGAGTATTTGGGACACAGCAGCTCCTAGAACACTCTGATAGGAGCACACAAGTTGGAGGTGTTAAATCATTCCTAAGTGGTCGAAATCCAAATTGCTGAGCAAAAGGGTTCTGTAAAGATTGATATCAATATGAGACATTCCTGGACTCACTGAGAAAAAACAAGCAAACCTCTTCTATACTGTGGATTTATTCTTTCAGTCCACAAATATTTACTGAGCATATGTTATATGCCAAGTGATACTGTTTGGATGTTTGGCCCCTCCAAATCTCATGGGGAAATGTGATCCCCAGTGTTGGAGGTGGGGCCTGATGGGAGGTGTTTGGGTCATAGGTGTGTATCCCTCAAGAATGGCTTGGTGCTTCCCCAAGATAATGAGTGAGTTCTCACTCTATTAGTTCAGAGAGAGCTGGTTGTTTAAAAGAGGCTGGCTCCTACTCCCGTCTCTTCCTCCCTCTCTTGCTATGTGACACACCTGCTTCCCCTTCACCCTCTGCCTTGACTGGAATGTCCCTGAAGCCCTTACCAGAAGCAGATGCTGGCCCCATGCTTATTATATAGCCTGCAGAGCCATGGGCCAAATAAAATCTCTTTTCTTTATAATTACCCAGCCCTAGCTACTCCTTTATAATAACACAAACAGACAATGATACAAAGCATTGACTGCACTTGGTCCTGGAGATACAGCAGTGACCAGGTAGACAGAAATCCCTGTGCTTATATTGCAGGAGGTGGGAAGGAAGCAAATAAACTGGTCTAGTAAGACAATAGATGGGACATCAGCTGGTGACTAGGGTGAAGGTGAAATGTGAGCAGAAAAGGAGGATGAGGTATGCTGGGACACAGGCTATTCAGGGAGCTCTCACTGAAAAGGCAACAATTGGGCAAGCATCTGAAGAGGGTGAGGGAGGAGGTGATGTGTAGCTGTGGGAAGGGCATTCATGTGGAGGGAAAATGGAGTGCAAAATATGGAGGTGAGAGAGTGTCCAGTGTACCTTAGGACCAGCAAGAAGGCAGTGTGGCTAGAGCAGAGAAGAGTGGGAAGAGGAGGAGGAAATGAAGCCAGAGAGTGACAGGTGATAGCTTGTGAGGCAGCAGAGCTGGTGCAGAGGTATGACATGGCTTAATTGTTATTTTGGAGGGCTTCATCTGCTGGTAGGTCAAGAAAGCGCTGCAGGGCAGAAGTAGGGACCTCAGTGCAGTTAACTGCTACAATAACTCATGTGACAGATGATGCCACCTTGGAGCAGGGGGCTGGATATGAAGGTGTAGGAGGTGGTAACTTTCTGCATTTGTCATGAAGGTGGAGACATCAAGTTTCCTGACAGGTTGGATGTGAAGTGGGAAAGTGAGAAGCATCAAGAATGACCCCAAGTTTTTGACCTAAGCAACTGAAGGATGGAGTAGCCTTCTGCAGAAATAGGGAAGGTTGAGGGAGAAGCAGGTGCAGGAAGGTCCTGTCAGGTGTTCAGTTTTCTGGGCAAGACTGATAATTGTTAGGCCTCCAGATAGAGATGGCCTGAAGATAGCTGGCTATCAAAGTCTGGAATTCATGGGAAAGGTCTGGGCTGGAGAGAAAAAGTGGCATCACTTTTAGTGGCATCAGCACAGACTGGATTTAAAGTCATGAGTCTGGGTGAGATCTTGGACAGTGGGTGTAGAATACAGGTCCTGGGCCCTCTAGAAGATGGGGAGATGAGGAGAAAACCAGAGAGAAAGGTGAAACCAGGGAACATAGTGTCCTGGAAGCCAAGGAGAATGTTTCAAGGAGATGAGCAGCAATGACCATATACCAGTTATCAAGCTTCCTTTGAGATAAAAATCAACAGCAGTTGACTCAGGGTCAGGTAGAGGTATACATTCTGCACAGTTTCAACCTACATGTGTGTCTTATGAACTAGTCCTTTATCTCCAGGCATCAGTAGCCCTTTGAAAATCTTTATGAACACTGCAGATTTTCTCAGCAAAATGCACTCAGACACACACAAGACTGTAGACAGTTGCTAGAGGTTCTCAACCTAGTAAAGTCCATCCTAGCGGTTTGGCTCATAATCAACCCTTCCCTATCCCCCAAGAAGGCTCTTATGGCATTAACCAAACTGTCTCAATGTAAAAAATTCAAGTATCACAGGTCCCCGGCTTTCCTAGACATATGTCCAAAGGGTAGAATGAGTTGGCTTTTCTGGGCTCTTAGGGGAGATAGACATCAGGGTGAGGTGAAAAACAAAATTGGAATGGACTGGCTCAAGGCTGACAGCAAAGGAGAACTCACCACCAGTTCCTGGACATGAAACACCTCTGCACCATCAGATGAGAGTCGATTGGGGAAAGAGATGCTGACAGATGACCCAGGAAGGGTGCTGGGGCCAGTGTTGTAGACCTGTGGGCGTGGAACACACACAGCAAGTTTTAATGGAAAGTAACAGCTCTCACTTCATGCCATGCAATGTATACTCCAAGATTCTTTGAAATCATACCCAGAAATTCTAGGTTTTGGATCTAGAATGCCAGGACTTGAAATAAAGTAAAATATTAAATGATAGAAAATTTCAACAACAATAGAAATCTTTCTAATATCCACTTAAAAAATTCAAATTTTTTTTAATTTGAGTAAGAAATTATTTTATTCCCTTTTAGCATTTTCTTGTCTTCTTCCTATTAAAAATTATATTTTTCACATATCTAGAAATTTACTCATAGACTGTTAGACATTTGGTGAGAACTCAGACAGTATAATCTAGTCTACTGGTTCTCTGACGTAACTATGAGAATCGTCTGAGGGGCTTATTAAAACACAGACTGGGGCATATGGCAGGGGGTCATGCCCAGAGTTTCTGTTGCTGTAGTTCTAGGCTTGAGGATTTGAATTTCTAATAAGTTTCCAGGAGATGTTGCTGCTGCTGCCCCAGAAACCACCCTGGGGGAATCCCTGAGCTGGTTCAATCTCTTTCCTTTAACAGTTTGAGGTAACAGAGGGGTCTTGGAAGGGCTTTTTTTACTGCACTGGTCAGCCGATTTGGTTTCTAGACAATTTGCAGCTCTTCACTCGCTAATATCATTTGATGATATCTGTGTATCTCTTTTCTGTCCTAGCATTTGATCCTAGAAAATTTTACTCCTCTTAGCTTCCCTACCACCCTTTCCATAGTCTGTATCCAGAAGCCAGTTACTTCCTGAGAAATGAGGGCTAAGCTGGCAGCCACAAAGAGACCA